CCAGCTCTCACAGCCATACATTACTACTGGAAAAACCATAGCTTTGACTATGTGAATCTTTATCAGCAAGGTGATGTCTCTGATTTTTAATATGCTATCTAGGTTTTTCATAGCTTTCCTCTCAAGGAGCAAGCCTTTTGATTTCATGGCTGCAGTCTCCGTCTGCAGTGATCTAGGAGCCCAAATAAATGAAGTCTGTTACTGCTTCCATTTCTACCCCTTCTATTTGCCAGGAGGCTCCCAGGCTTACATACACTTTATTTCATTCATAGGCTTCCACATTCACATGAGGAACACATTACAATTATGGTTACATCTAAAAAAGAAACAGTGGCTTGCCTTAATCAGTTTAATCCAGAAGGAAACTCTGTTTTTGGATCCCAGTCTGTTGAATGTTGGCTTGAATAAGTCCACAGTTCCCTGAGTAGAAATGGCATGTAGAATAAAACACTGAAATCTTTAATTCTCATCAACACACGAGAAGGATATGAAATTGCTGAAGTTTGAGATTCACCCAGATTCATTTCTAATGGCATACTAACTGCATATGATTGCATGGTCACTTTTGTTAGGAACTACAGGAGCTGAAATCCAACACTGATTTGTATGTTCATGCCAATCAGGTTTAAGTCCAGAACTACATGTGCTCTGTGGAATATATTACATAAGTGCAGAGTAAAAGCTCATTTTCATGTTGTTATTCACAGGCTTTTTCAGGAAACACCAATGCTGACAGTGTGGTATATTATAAGCTTGAACATTCCATCAAAGCAAGATTTCTACGATTTGTCCCTTTGGATTGGAACCACAATGGCAGGATTGGAATGCGGATCGAAGTCTATGGATGTGCTTATCGTAAGTAATGTATTTTCCTTTAATGAGCAGAATGACACAAGTCTGTAATGCATTTGTAAACTGAAAATGAAATCCAGCTTGTAATAATAATTGGCCTTTGCTTATTGCAGTTACAAAGAAGCATTTTTGGGGGAGGGATATCAATTTTGCATTTTAACATCATACTCTCTTTTACTATCTTGATTTTTTGCATACTAAGATCAATATCATGCAACACATTGTAATATATCTACATAATTCTGAACTCCATCTGTATAACAGATTTTTTTTTCCCTTCCTTTGTGCTTCTCCTCTACCCCTCCAGTGATCAGGTCTCCTTCCTTCTCCCCTGATAAGCAGATATAAAGTATATTTTCTTTTCAGTTTCATTTACATTTTGTAATTTACAAGACAGTGACGCCAGGCTATTAAAAAGAAAATGCACCATGAATTGAGTGGATTTGAAGGACAAGGACTGCCATATTCATGGCCTTCAAATGCTGCTGAAACCATCATACATCCAACAGTATTTTGAAGACATGATGGTGATGAACAATTTCAGTGTATTATGGACTAGTGATCCTTTAAAAGTGATGAGAGGAAAAAAGGAATGAAGCTGATGGCCACCAGTCTCAGTTTTTCCTCACTGCAGATTCCACTTCCTAGCCTCCAGTGAATGAGCTGGTTGGCAATTAAACCAGTTTAATTAATCCTTTTCCAGGTTTCAACTCATCCATGACAGATAAGCAATTACCAACTGCTTTCCATTCTATGGGCCTGGTGCACGATTCTGAGGACTGGTAAAACAAAAATCAGTTTTCCATTCTTCCTATCGCTTGGGCTAAGAAGGGAAATCTGGCAGAACTCTTGTCAACTTCACCCATTTGTGTAAGATGGAATGATACACAGCAGGTGTACTAGACTGCCCTGCTTGTGCCAGCAGAGCAAAAAAACTTGAGGACATTTCTGAGCAAGCTAAGTGCAGTCTGAAGATGATCCATTCCCATCATCCTGAAGTGCTAGGCAGCTTGTCCTCAGGCTGGGGAACAAGCAGGAAAGGCAAATCAGCCATCAGATGTGTTAGGCAGCACTATGCGGATTCTACACTTGGTCTTAGTCAAAAAGCTGAGACTTTACTTGGTCACCAGCTTAGTGTTCTAGTATCTAAGTAGGATAATTCTCAGCAGCAGTTTATCACTAATTTTAGAATTCTAGTTCTTAAATGTTACTTTTTTTTTTAGTATGGAATTGATTGCATGTGTAGTCTATTTTAGTCTGCTATATTTATATTTCTATGTACTTATTTGCCAATTTCTTCTTTCTGTTCTTCTATTTGTATCTTCTGAAATGAAGTTGTACAAAACGCTAGTCAATGACTGTCATAAATGCTTCTGAACTTTGAACATCATGCTGAATCTTGACACTGGGACACTGGGATGTTTGTTGTCATCTCTAAACAGCCACCACACTTTGCTAGTTTTATTTTATTGCCTTAAAACTCCTCACAAATCACACTATTGGCAGAAAAGAAGTATCTGAAATTGAGGGCAGCAGCTGGGGTTAATATTTTTAATGACCCGGTCTGGAATATCAGACAATGAATCTTGGATACTTTGTATGCAAAACATAGATTTTTCCACTGAACTTCATCTTTTCCTTGAATCAGTAAAAGTGTCTATTGAGATATAAAAATCATTAACTTTGGGGGGGGGGACGACAAACTGCAACTATATCCTATTCAAAATGATAGTGAGAAGAATCATGAGCATTTGACAGCAAATTGTAATTATAATTGATAAAATAGCCACGATTAAAAGACCAGGTTCCTTCTTTTGGCTTCTGTAGTGATCATCTTGAATAGGAATTCCTGAAAAGTCAGGTGAAGGCCCCATTGACATGATTCTGCCATCCTCCTCAAATATGAGGAGTTTGCAAATGGTGTCATTTCAAATTTCAGGGCTTTCCCAGTTGAATGCTCTGTGCTGTGCTCTGCATATATGACTAGGCATATCCATAATTTCACTGCAAAAATTAACATTAACTTTGAAAATTATCATTTATAAAAACTGTCTGATCTTCTTACTATCTACAGTCCACTTCAGGATTTGGGGTCCTTCCCAAACACCACCACTAGAAGAATTTGTATGCACATAATGCAGCACTGTTTTCTCTATTCTGCAAGACCTTCTCCTCTGCTGAGTCCTTCACAGATATTGAAACAAACTAGGGTAGCATGGTGGGCTTAAGGTGAAATAACAATCTTTTTAATGCTAAAAAAATGTCCCGGGGGCCTGATGGGGGCTTGCACCATTGGAATTGGCTCGTGGGATAATAGATTCTAACCA